GGGCTCTACCCTGAGGCCTCTGCACCAAAGCTCCCTCCCTCGACCCCCTCCTCTGGGCCTCCACCCCACGGCCCCTCCCCTCTTCTCCCCACGCCCCTCCTCCCACGGCCCCTCCCCTCCTCATGCCCCTTCCTTTCCCACGGCCCCGCCCCTCCCACAGCCTCGCTCTCCCATGGCCCCGCCCCTCCCCACGCTCCTCCCCTCCCATGGCCCCGCCCCTCCCCATGGTCCTCCACGGCCCCAGGGAGCAGAGGGAGGGGTAGATCCTCTAGATCCTGGCCCCCTCCCCGGTGCATTGGGAGCAGGCACCGCTTCAGGGGAGCCTCGTCCGGGGCCACAGCCCACTGCATGCGCCCCTGGTTCCTAAGGGGTTGCACAGGGGTGCGAGGTCCTCAGCCCTGCTCAGCCAGGGCTCGGCCCAGCCAGGACACGGCCCGGGCCGGGAGTCTCAGCCTCAGCGCTGAGGTTGAGCGGGGCTTGGGGGGCGGGGCCTGGGGGCACAGCCTTGGACATAGGGTACGTGTGTGCGCGTGTGTGTGTGCATGTGTGTGTACTGAGCTCACCGGTGACACACAGGGGTGCATGTGTGTGCATGTACTGAGCTCACCGGTGACATGCAGGGGTGTGTGTGTGTGTGTGTGTAACATACGTAATCTTTCATGTGAAAAACAGGCCTAAGAGGTCAGGAGGAGTCAGGCAGCGTCTCCAGGGGCTGGCTCCAGAGGGAAGTGGCCCTTCCACCCTCTCTGCCCTCGCTTCTGGGACTGGGGGCTCCCGTCTCCTTGCCAGCTGTACTGCTGTGGGCGAGGGGACCGGGGCCATCGGCTGGGCCTTCCTCACCCAGGGGCCGTGTTGCACATCCCTGCAGCCAGCCGGGAGCGGTAGGAGGGTGGGGGTGTGGGGGAAGGCCCAGGAGGCGCAGGGCCGGCTCCGGGGAGGGGGGGGGGCTGACGGTCGGGTGACGCAGGAGCAGAGGATGGAGGAGGAGCTTCTGGGGGGTTGGCGGCAGGTGCCCCCATCCGTGCCATCACGGAGCGCCGGTGCCCTCCCCCCTGCTGCTTCAGCCGGCTCTCCTGGCCCACGGAGCGGCTCCCGACTCTTCCTGCCCTGCAGTCATGCAGACTCAGGAGGCCGCTGGGGGTCCAGTCCCATGGACCCCAACACCTCGCGGCCTCTGGGAGGGTCAGCCCTCTCCCCATGCCAAGCCTGCTTGGAGTCTCACTGCTGGGCGGCCCCTGGCAGCCCCATTCGGGCCGGGGGCCAGCAATGAATGCCCCCCGTCTCCGATTGGTTTGTGGTATTAAAAACGAATTGCGATCAGCGGGGCTGTCATTTCTACCTGATAAAACATCACTTTTATTGATCTCATCACGCAGTGCCATCATTTATCTTGCTTCGGCGTGTCACATAATGGCTCGTTTGTCTTGATCACAGAGTGGTCTTGCATGTTTAACCCTCGGGGATCCGCAGCCTGCGACCTTCCCTCCATGCCTGCCCTTGGCCAGGCCCAGTCTGGGAGTGTGTGTGTGGGGGAGAGGTGGGGTGTGTGTGGGGACATCACTGGGACGTGGGATCCCAGTGTGGGGCCTGCAGAGGGACCAAGCTGTGTCCTAACCCTGCAGTCGTGAGAGCTAGACCGGGAGATGGAGCTTACCTGTGCCCTGGGGTCCCCCTCCCTCCACCAGTTACCCACCAGCCCCATCGCTCAAGGCCTTCCTCTGGGTGCTGCCCCCCCCCCCCCCCCCGGGCCGCAGAGGGAGCCCTCTGCCACAGGGCTCAGGGCAGGTACTGCAGGCCGCATCCTGCCGTTTGTGCCCCTCTGCTGGCCCCAGGCTTCCCCCCTTCTCCCACCTCCTCCCGGTTCTGTGTCTACCCTCTGCCGGCCCTTCCCTGGGCTCCTCCTGCCCAGCCCAGGTAACACCTTTTCCTGGATGCCCACAGGAACACCAACGAATGGACCGTCCCACCCTGAGTGCTGAAGCCCAGTCCGGGCTCTACCAAGCCCCCTCTTGTCAGGACCAAGCATGGCTGACCACGCGAGGGGAAGTGACGGTGCCCCAGGGGCGTGCTCTCCCTTCCTGGGCTTCTGGGAGGTCAGAAAGCCAGGACTGACCCATCCCTCCGCTGGCAGTCTCAGGCCCGCCCCATTCTGGACATGGCCGCCTGGCCGGCCCAGCTCACAGGGCACGAAACCCTGACGGACAATCCAGTTTCCTTCCCACCCCTGCCCAACACTGTTCAAGGAGCCAACTCCTACTCCCCCCTCCCGTCTCCCCTTCCTGCCTTCTCCCCTCCCCCTCCCCATTTCCCCTCCAGCACCCACTCCCTGGTGTCCACTGTGCTGCCCAGGGTCCCACTTTACCCCTCCTCTGGGGGCCCTCAGCGTGGCCGCGTGGATGGACAGGTGAGTGACTGGTCACAGGCTTGGCAGGTCCGAGCTTCCAGGGCCAAGTCGAAGGCCCCTTAGAGGTGCTGTAGTCCCAGGATGGACCCTCGGGCCCAGGGCTCCACTCAAGCCCACCCTGGCGTGCGGGAGGAGGCCAGGCTGCGCGCCAACCTGCCCCTGGGCCCTTGGCCCTCAGTTAACCATGTGCACAGGAATCAGGCAGTCACAATCCCGACTCTGAAAACCTGTACAATAGTTCATATATTTATTCTTAAGCAAGTTATCAATAAAAAATTTAATACTAAAATGCCTTTACATAGAGTTTGCTGTTCATAAAACCTTTGTGTTTTTTTGTTTGTTTTGTTTTTAGTGTTTACATTGAAAAAAATTCCAACCATCCTCTTAGTTTACACATGTACAAGATGCGTGCTTTGCCACGGTTAGCCACAGGTAAGGGAGGGTCACACCACACACCGACACACAGGGAAAAAGGGACACAGGGGACAGCCAACAGAAGGGAAAGAAACATCCACGAGGTGGCCAAGAATGAGGGTCCATCTGTCCGTCCTTGCTTCCCACTACTTGGGTTTAGAACAGGTTAAATTCTTCACTTGACAACTTCCTGATGCCCAAGCTCTGAGCAGGACCTCGGCAGGCCTCCGGGTGACCACTGGGAACGCAGTATTGCACTCATGCCGAGACACAGGGTAGATGTGGGGCGGGGAGAGGGGCAGCGGGGCTCAGGACCCTCTGTCTGTCTTGAATGTCCCGTGGGGCCACGAGGAGTGGCCCCTGGATGACTGGTCAGCAGGGGAGGGAATGGGCTCCCGGGGGGCCCACTGGGGGTAGGGTGCCCGTGGACACTTCCTGCTTCCCGGGGCTTGCCTACAGCTCCCCCGGAGCCAGGGTGGGTGCGGTGTGTGGGGAACGTGGTCCCCGGTGCCCAAGGGCCACGGCCTTCCAGACACAGGCCTGGTCTGCTGCTGTCAGGGGTCGAGTGAAGGGCGCCAGGCTCTTCTGGAACCAGGGCCAAGTGGGTACCTGCCCTGCCAAGTGGCTGCAGAAAAGGCCCTGGAGCCCCAAAGGGGGTGTGGGGAGGACTGGGAGGGCCAGAGGCGGGGCTGGAGGAGGGGCTTGTCCCCAGGGTGGGCATTGCCTGTCTTGTCACTTTCCTCCTCCCCAGCCCCAGCCCTCAGCCTCAAGCTCACCGCCATCCAACTCGGAGCAGCTCAGAGCTGGAGAGGTGCCGGGAAGAGGGTCTGGGGTGGAGCAAGGGGCATCTCACAGCACAGCACCTGCTCAGCCTTGGAGGGAACTCTCACCACCCAGGGGGCCTGAGTTCAGATCCAGAGAAGGCCCTGCACCAGCAGCCCCAGCTTGAGGGCTTTGAGACAGGAAGCCGAGATCTGGGAATCACAGTTTGAAGCCAGCCTGGGCAGGAAAGTCCATGAGACTTATCTCCAAGTAGCCATCAGAAAACTGGAAGCGGAGCTGTGGCTCAAGTGGTAGAGCGCTGTTCGCCTTGAGCATAAAAGCTCAGGGACAGCACCCAGGCCCTGAGTTCAAGCCCAATGACCGACCAAAACAACAACAACAAAAAGTCTTGGGGAGGTTGAGGCCCTGGGGGCTGGGGGGGGAGAAGAAGGGATTCAAATCGGGGGCCTTAGGGGCTGGCCATCCCCTCTGCCCAGTGAGTGAGGCCAGATTTCTCTCCCTGGGACAGACCGCCGTGGAAACGGAAATAAATTGGAATCTTCAGGAAACAAACATCCCCTTTTCTTATCAATACTTTGAAATACTTTGTTCATTTTTGTTTTGTTTTAAACAGAGGTAAGATACTCGTGGCTGCTGCCACGCCCCCATAAGGGGTTGGGGGTCGGACCCCTGGTCCTGGGTGGGTGATTTTCCTGGGGGGGGCCCTCATCACTGTCCCCCAACCCCAATACTTCTTTTATCCAGATGCACTAAAAAGGGACTTGAGTGTGAATTCCACCTAACACAGTCGGCCCCTAAGAGGCTGGAGGGTGTGATCTGAGCTGCGGCCTCCCGGCCTGGCAGCCTCTGCTCACAGATGCCCCATCGGAACTCAGCCAGGCTGAGGAGAACAGTGCATTTCCAAAGAAAACTCCAGAACAAAATACACAAACAATTGCACACACATGCGTACACACACACACACACACACACACACACACACACACACACACACACACACACACGCCCGCAACACACGGGTGGGGAAAATCCTTTTTCACTTCCTTTCCATAAAACTTCCCCGCAGAAATACAGTATTTACATAGAGAAATAAATAGACAACACACCTGATTTCTGCTTTCCCTGGTGGGGCAGTCAGAGGTACTAGGGAAATATGGCTTGGATTCTAATCTTGCGAGACCTGTGGGGAGCCAGCGTGGCCGTGTCCTCTCCGGGGTCCTGTCGGGCGCTCCGCGGTGGAGGGCGGGCCTGGGGTCCATGCCTAAGTGCTCTCTCTTTCCAGGGAACAGCATGGAGGCCTGACCTGGCCTTGGTGGGTTTGCATATTTGCTCTGAGCAGCCCCAGGTGTGGCGTGGCCCGGGCTCCATGCGTGGCCCGGGGCAGGCAGGAGGCCGGGGTGGAGGGGACTCAGCACAGGATGGGCACTCCGTCTGCGGTCACCAGGCGCCCTGTGGTGGGGTCATAGGTGCCTGCCAGGTAGTAGAGGTCCTGCCGGTCCTGGTACTTGCGACTCCGGGTCATCTGCTCGTACTGGTCCCGCCCCACGACCTGGCACTTGTGGGAGATGGTCTGCACGTCGTTCTCGTCCTCGTGGCATGACTGGTACAGCGCGTTCTGCGGGGGAGGGTGCAGCATGTCAGGGACGCAGGCCCGCAGGCCGCCAGGCTGGGGAAAGGCCCCCCCCCCCCCCGCGCTGGGCCGGGGCTCTCAGTGGGGCTGGGGCTCTGCACAGAGACCTGTCACGGGCACAGGGTGGATGACGCCAGCTTCTCCGGGAAGGACAGGGTGGGCCGGGGTTCTGTCTGACTGTCTGTCTGGAGCTGGTGGCAGTGGGAAGGGGAATGGCCCTCGGACTGGGAGGGGCTGCCCTGAACCTCAGGCATGAGCTGGCCCAGCCTGGTGCCAAGTGTAGCCTTGATCAGACAGCTCGGGGGAGGGGTGCAGGCGGCTCCCCGCGGGAGAGGTCAGGAGGCGTCCCCTCCCCGGGCCGCGAGCGGTTGGACTCACCCTCCCGTCGCTCTGCCGCTTCCCCAGCTTGGTCTCCTCGGGGTGGTAGAACCACTTGACCCTCACCACCATGTTGCTGCCCCAGGACTCCCACATGCTCTCGATGCGGCCGATGTAGGGCAGGTTGGGTCTCCCGGCCGACAGGAAGACGGCACAGTCTCCCACGCGCAGCGTCTCCTTGCCACGGACGATGGCCTTGTAGAACAGCTTCCGGGCCTTCCCCTTCATGCCCCGCCTCTGTGGGGGGGACAGCAGAGGCGGAGGGGCACTGAGGGGCTCAAGAGCCCGAGGAAGGCGGCGGCTGGGAGTTACGAGGAACGTGAGCCTAAGCAACAGCTGGTGAGGCGCGTGCACCTGTGTGTATGCATGCATGTGCATGCATGTGCCTGCGTGTACACACACACACACACACACACACACACACACACACACACACACACAGGAGCAGGGATAGGAAATAGCTGTGCAATCCCTGGCAGGAGACCATCAAGACAAAGCTCCCAGATAAGGGCAGCCAGGCCTGGATTTGCTTTCCACACTGTCTGCGACAGGAAGAGGACACAGACCCTAAAGGCACACCGTGCCCAGGGCAGAGACCCGTGAAGGTGCTCAGTGTAGTGTGTTTACCCCAAACTGCTGCTTAAAAGCCCCCCCAAACTACACCCTCAGGCCCACCCGGGGAACCAGCACTGATTGAATGTGTCCAGCCAGGCGCCGGTGGCTCACGCCAGCTACTCAGGAGGCTGAGATCTGAGGATCACAGTTTGAGCCAGCCCGGGCAGGAAAGTCTGTGAGACTCTTATCTCTGATTAGCCAACAAAAAGCCAGAAGTGGAGCAGTGGCAGGGTGCCAGCCTTGAGAAAAAAAGCTAAAGGGACAGCACCGAGTCCCTGAATTCAGGCCCTAGTACTGCACAGAAAAAGGAAGGAAGGAGGGAAGGAAGATGTGTGTCCATGCAGGGAGTCTGTTGGGCCCTGCCTCGGCCGGCTGGCTCATTGTCGACACAGAGCTGCTCAGGCAGCCCTGGCAGGTGACCCAGCCACACGGAACTCAGAGCACGCACCTGCCCCCACCCCACCCCCGTCCCATGCAGGGAAGGCCGAGGGCCCCACAGGCAGATCCAGACCCTGGGTTTTGCTTCACTGAACTCGAGATGGGATTTTGTTCTTCCCTGAGGGTTTGCACATAATGTGCTTGAAAGTGAATGGAACATGAAAGAAGAGGTCCAAGGGGGAGGGAGCCCGTGTCTAGGTGGGAATGTAGCTCCCAGCCCGAGACCAGCCACCTACCTGTGTGGGGTTCCCCGACCACTTCCACAGCTGCCGGGCTGGCAGGAAGGCTGAGATCTTTGGCCGGTTTTCCACGGAGGGCAGCCGCTGCCTCCGAGAAAGCTCTTTGGCTTTGGAGAAACTCAGGGCCTCCTTGCGCTTGAGCTTGGATTTGCCGCCACTAGGTCCGGCGCCCGCGCCCGCGCCGGCCACGGCGGCCCGGGACAGGAAGCAGCGCGGGGCGTGGGTGCCCTTGCGCAGGGCCTCGGGCGGGGCCAGGAGGGTGGGCACAGGGCGGGACAGGCAGGTCTGTAGCAGCAGGGCGGGGTCCTCGTCGTCTGAGCTGTAGGAGGAGTCCTCGTTGTCGGAGGAGCAGAGGCTGGAGGTGGACATGGAGCCGGAGGAGGAGGTGGTGGATGAGCCCGAGGAGGAGGAGGACACGGACAGGCGGGTGAGGAAGCGGGAGGGCACGCCAGCGGCCAGCCCGGGCCCGTCTTCATCCTCATCCGAGTAGGAGCTGGGGCAGTCGCTGTCGCAGGCCAGCGGGCACTCCGCCTGGCCTGCGTACTTGCGCAGTGCCAGTCCCATGGGCAGGGGGTGGACAGGCGCCCGCCCCTTCTTGTCCTTGCCCACCAGGTGTGCGTAGCTGGGGCTGGGCAGCGGCCGGCCCAGCTTGGGGCCGAAGTCCTTCTCACCCATGAGCAGGGCCTTGCAGTTCTTGTTTTTGGGGGAGGTCACACCCTCGTGGTCCAGCTTGACCAGGAACTCGCCGCCCGCCCGCCGCCGCCCGCCCTTCTCCGCCTCGGCCCTCTCCACCTTCTTGGGCCTGAGCAGCTTGTGGGCCCCGGCGGGCAGGCCGGCCCCGGCCGCACTGACGAAGGGCGCGTAGGAGCTGGCCAGGCTGCTGAAGGAGTCCGCTCGGAAGCCGTTGCCGAACACGGGGGCGGCCACGCCGTGCACGGGGAACAGTGTCTCGCGGGCCCGCAGCTTCTTGGTGCTGCCGTTGAGCTGGAAGAGGTTCTGCAGCACCCCTGGCCCTTTGCCGCCCGCGGCTGCAGCCACGGCCCTCCGCTTAGTCTGTGCCACGGCCGACCAGCTCAGCAGCGGGCTGCCCCGGTGGCCCAGGAAGTGGTCTGAGGCCCCTGAGGGGGACTTGGCACCTGAGGTGAGGAGGTCAGCTTTGCCTGGGGTGGGGGGAGGCAGGGAGGGTCAGTGGTACTGGCTGGGCCTACCCGGCTGCCTCCCTCCGTCCCTCCCTCCCCCCCGCCAGGCTCTCCCCCTCCCCCTTTTCTCCGGTCCTGCAAATACCAGCTTTGTCTTTGCTGACGGATTTCTTCCCGGCAGTCTTGGAACCTTCCAGGCCATCTTGCACTTTAGGGGACAGGCTGGGAGTGGGGGCCTCGCTGGGCTGGGGGGCCTCGCTGGATGCTTTTTTGGTTCTCCGGCAAGTGCTGGACACCAGCAGGGCTGGGGAGGGCTCTGTACCTGCAGAGCGGGCAGGCGGGCTCAGCGACACCCTCCTCCACGGGCAATCCCCCCCCCCCCGCCCCCGCCCCTCTCTGGGGAGCCGTGGAGCGGTGGGCCCAGCAGGAGGGGCTGTGGGGCGCTCGAGGGCTCGGGTGCTCACACTGGATCTTGAAGTCTGGAGGCAGAAGTCTGACGTTAGAGACAGCGATGTGGCCTGTGTCCCCATCATCAAACTCCACCAACACTGAATCCAAGTCGTCCTGGTCACTGGAGTTGCCTGTGGAGGGCGGCACTGAGGGCACAGCAGTGGGGGGGGGGGGGAAGGGGAAGGGGGGGGCGGCTCGGCAGTGGCTTCCTGACCACAGCTGCTCTTGGTGCCACTGAGGCTTCCCCTTGGCCTCCTGTAGCTAGCCACCCCTGGTCCCCACACCCCACCCAGACTCCCTGGGCTACGCACAGGGGCAGTTGCTCCTCTCAGCTCAGTTACCCTAGGGGCGACCTCTTCCGGAAGTGCCCGGTAGCTTCCGGCCCCACTCACCCACTCTCCTACTGTGCCCTCTGGGTCTCCCGCCCCCCTGGTCTCTACCAGGGGGTAGAGCCTAGGCTCAGGAAGGAGGGTCTAGCGCAGCTGGCGTGCGTGTGAGTTTGGGGACCTCAGCCCTGGGGCTCTGGGTCTTTTCCTTCTAAACTTTCTCTCCTTCCTTGCTGGGCGTGGGAGGCACCCCGTACCACGCCCGATTCCCAGCTGACCTGGGCCCACTCCATGTAGACACAGGTCTGCTTAGACAGGACAGGAAGCCGCCCGCTCAGGGCCCTTCTGGGAGTGCTGAGGGTCGCAGAGGGGCCTGGGCTGTGTCTTGGTGCTGGCCATGCTTACCTCGGACCACGTTGCCTGGGTACAGGCAGCGGGACTTCTGACTCCAATAGGCGCAAACCCGAGTGCCGGGAGGAAGGTACCTGCTGGACTGCGGCCGGACATCAAGGACCTGCAGGAAGCAATAGGGCCATGGCCTGTGAGCAGGCAGGGCGGGGCCCAGGGGTTGTAGCCTGTGAGCAGAGGCCCAGGGGCTGGGGGCAGGGTGGGCTGGGCCAGCTCGGGGCCATCCTCACCGCCTCCTGCAGCAGCTGCTCCAGAGAGTAGATCCGCTGCCGGTTGCCTCTTTCTCCCTCGATGACGATGCTGTAGCTGAGGGCATAGGGTGTTGCATGAGAACCTATGGGGTCTCCTGGGCCACAGCCCGTAGGCAGCCCCCCTCCCCCGGTCCCCGGCACAGGCCTGGGCCTCCTCACATGTCAGGGGGCTGCAGCGTCCTGACACTGCCGGCGTAGAGCAGGCTGTCTTCCTTGGGGATGAGCACTGGCAGCCCGTCCTGCAGGTCCTCCTTGTGGATGGTGCAGGACCGCGCTGGGGGGAGGCGTCAGCATGGTCAGCCCGGTCCAGCCTGCCCCCCCCCAGGCGGTGCCCAGCCCAGCCCTACTCACCGAGGGCCGCGCTCTGCTCGGCACTCAGCTGGCCCCCGTCCTCCTCTTCCTCGTCCTCTTCCTCTTCTGAGAAGCTGCTGCCATCGTCAAACTCAAAGTCGTCCTCCACAGTGAAGCTCTCCAGCAGCCGGCTCACAGCCCGGCCCTGGCCCTGGGTGGGTGGGAGGGGTCAGGTGGGGCGGGAGGGGCCGGGCCGGCCGGGCTCTCGCGGGTGGGGTTGGGGGGCGGGCCAGCTACCTGCTTGCCCACGGTCTTGCTTTTCACCTTGCCCAGCTTCCTGCCTTTCCCCAGAATGGCCTTGGCGTTGCGGGCCGACAGGGCGATGGACAGGGCCCCGTTCTTCCGCTGGGAGGTCAGAAGAGAACGGGGTGAGGGTGGTGATGCCCCCCGCCCTGCCAGGCTGCCCTGGGGACCCAGGAGGTGGGGGTGAGGAAGGAGGCCGGGACGTGTGCTCCGCAAAGCCTTTCCCGGTGAGTGTCCTCTCCTCGGAACCCCAGCACCTCCGGATGCCCACCAAACCCAGGTGCCACTGGCCGTGCGGGCCTTACCCGCAAGACTGGCTGCAGCATGGTGCTCTTGCGCGTGGCTCTCTTGAGACGTTCGCTGGCCAGCTTGCTGCCTTCCTCGTGGGAGGCGAAGGCTCGGGAGGGGGCAAAGAGGGGCTCCCGGCCGGGGGCGGCCCCAGGCTCGCTGCGCAGGCCCCCTTTGGCCTTGCCCTTGCCTTTCTTCTTGCCTGGGGCGCCTGGGGGTCGCCGCCCCGGAGTCCGCTCCAGCTTGGTGCCGACCTTGGCCTTCACCGCCCGCCTTTTGATCTTGACCTCACTCTCGGGGCTGGACAAGCGGCAGGCCCCTGTGGAGGGGGAAGGGCGGCTGTCACGGGGGTCCCGCAGATCAGGTGGACCGCAGCCCGCCGCGGCCTCCCGGTTACCTAGCAGGCTCTGCCTCTCCTTCTTCTTCTTGGCCTTCTGGTTGGCTTCCATCTTGACCACGGAGGACGGCGAGGGCCCCAGGGTGGCCCCTCCAGCCCCTGAGTGCAGCCCCAGCTCAGACTCCCGGGGAGCTGCCTCTGGCCCCAGGAGAGCCTGGCAGTCTTCGCTGTCATAGCCGCTGCCTGGGGACAGAGGGACCGGTGAGCCTGCCACTGGACACCGCCATCGGAGGTCTCCGGACACAGGCAGGCCGCCTGTGTGGGGACTGGGAGCCACCCCACCCTCCCCGGGACATCGGGCAGGGGACGAGGGTGGAGATTCTGCGGTTTCTGTCCGGGCTGGGGATCCCTACTGTGTCCGTTGGCACAGACGGCCCTGGGCTTCCTGCCTCCCCAGGACACCTCCTCTCCTCTTCCTGTCCTCTCCCAGGCTCCTGACCCGAGCGAGGGGGCTGGGAGCCGGCGCCTATTTTTCCAGGCTCTCGTCTGTGGACGAATGTCTGCTGGACACTGGAAGGACCGGAGCTGGCGCAGGCAGGGTTACTTTTAGCCTACTTCCGGGACGCACCCAGGGGCCCCTGGCTTCCCTGTGAGGCTGTCTCCCCTTGCCTGTCAGCCGGAGCTTGTCCCGGGTCTGTCCCGCGCTGCCGGCCTTCACCAGGCTCTGCGCCGGCTGTGGCCCTGTCCACCCCTCCTCCGTCCCCAGGAGATCATGGCCACTCACACCTACGACTTGCCTGCCTCATGCGCCAGGGCCCCCGCGGGCTGGCTGGGGAACCTGGGCATCTCCCTGCCGCTGTCCCCGCCGGGTTGCGGGTGCCGGGTCGCGGCAGACGCCTTGGGGTTCTTGGCTTGGGACAGTTTCTGGAGGCGCCTGCCGGGGGCGGCCTCCTTCCGCTGGAAGGGGCCGAGGCCGGCGGGCAGCGCCTTGGTCTTGACTTCGGGCTTCAGCTGTGCCACCCTGTGGGCCGCCGAGGACACCAGCTCGCTCTGGCCACCGCTCTTCTTACACCGAACCTTCTCCTGCGGACGGGAAGGGGCGGCTGCAGCCAAGGAGGCCCGAGTCTCGGGAAGCGGCAGCGTGGGACCTTGGGAAGGGGCTGAGGCTAAGTGGCCTGGGGTTGCGGGCCTGCCCAGTGGGGACCTCACGGGGATGGCCACGCCCTCTCCCCCAGCTCCAGTCTGCCCTCCTGTGCAGAGGGGGACGCCAAGGGTCAGGAGGCTGTGGTGTGGCAGGTAAAAGCCATTTACTCTTCTAAAAAGCAGGATAAAAAGCAGAGGGGGCAACAGTGGCTCGCGCCTGTGATCCTAGCTACTCGGGAGGCTGAGATCCGAGGGTTGCAGATCAAGGCTAGCCTGTGCAGGAAAGTCTTGTGAAACTCTTATCTCCAATTAACCAGTAAAAAGTTAGAAATAGAGCTGGAGCAAATGGTACAGTGCTAACCTTGAGCAAAAGTCAGGAACAGTGCTCAGGCCCTGAGTTCAAATTCTGGGACTGGCACCAAAAAAAAAAAAAAAAAAAGAAAAAGACTCAGAATGCCAGCCAGGCAGGGTAACAGACTCACACCAGTAGCTACCTGGGAAGCAGCTATCAGGAGGATACTGTTCTAGGCCAGTCTACGAAGAGTGCACGAGATCTCATCAACCCTGTGTCACAGGTTGGCTTGGGCATGACATTAAGAAAATAAACAGGGTAGGGGTGGGTAGTGTAGTTGTGGAGATGGAAGGGAAGGGGAAAAACAAAGGAGGAGGCAACAATGCTTGATAAGAAACGCACCCATTACCTTGCTCGTGTAATTGTAACCCCTCTGTATAGTATTTTCACAATAAAAAATGTGTTTTAAAAAGATAAATGAAACAGGGCTGGGAAGGTGGCTCAGTGGCAGAGTGCATGCCTAGCATGTATGAAGCCCTGGGTTTGATTTCTCAGTACCACATACACAGAAAAAGCCAGAAGTGGCGCTCTGGCTCAAGTGGTAGAGTGCTACCAGAGAGGCTCAGGGACAGTGCCCAGGTCCTGAGCCCAAGCCCAGGATTGCCAAAAAAAAAAAAAAAGAAAAAAAAGAAAAGAAAAAACTAGAAGCAAAAATGGAGACATGGCCTAAGTAAACTCAGGGCCAGAGTTCAAACCCTGATATTGCCAAAAGAAGAAAGCAAACGGGGCCCTGGGCACAAGGTTCTAGCAGGGGATAGGCAGGTGGCAACAGGATAAGATTCAACCCCTGCCAGCCCCTCTGGGGACCCCGAGGAGGGGCAGAGAGGGCTGACTTGCTGGCTCACAGCGCGCCTCTGTCTCTCGCACACACGTGGCGTTCAGAGCTACCCCAGAGGGGCTGCTGGACACACCTTCCTGGTAGCAGCCACCCGTGCGTCTCCCCGACCGGATGAGCCGAGGGGGTAGAATGTTGGGGTGCATGCGGCAGGCAAGGCCCGGGGTGCGGGGTGCGACCAGCCCACCCAGGGTGTCCACCGTCGGTGGCTGAGGTCGTGACTCTCGTCCAGCCCTGGCTGGCACACCTGCACACCCGCGCTGGGTAAAGGCCCAGCACCCGTTACCCGTGCTCCAGGCCTGCCACCGTGCCTCCCCAGGGCGGGGTGGAGGCCCGCACTCACTGTGGAGGGCTGCAGACCGGCATAGATGCTCTTCTCCAGTTTGCTCTGCTTCCTGGGGGGTTCGTCACCTCGAAGCTCAGCACACAGCAGACTGAGACTGGCCCGCACTGCCCTGGGGACAAGGTGGTAGTGGGCACGGGATGGGCATAGCACAGCAGCTGGGCCTGGGTGCCCGGGCCTCCACGCCTCCAGTAGCTGCTGGGGTGTGTATGAGCAGCCTCTGGACGCAGGACAGCCCCTGGGTCAGCGCCGGACGCCCTTGCAGGCAGAGACCTCTCAGAAGGCAACTGCCAGTCCTCAGTGGTCCTGGGGCCCGCGCCTGCCCTGTTTTCCGCTGGGCTGGGAACGGGCATCTCCCCACGCCCTGCTGGGGAGGAACCTGCCTGGGGCCCGTAACCATGGTGACCCAGAGTTGGGGCAGCGGGGGCAGTAGACTGGCAAGGACTCTAACACACCCAGCGCCAAGGAGCCAGGGTTTGGCAGCCTCTGCGTGGTGGGGCTGTGGCTTCAACCTTTCTACCAGGAGAATTCTGGGCGGGGTGGGGTGTGGGGTGGGGGGGAGGCCCCTATACAGCTGGTCAGGAACGCAGAGGACACGGGGTAGCCCCCTCGGAACAGGGTCCATGCCTCCGTGATGAGGGAGGAACTTCCTCGGCGCCAGTTCCCACACCGCCGGGGTCAGCACCCCAGGGGTCCTGGGCAGGGAACCTGCATCATCCCAGTGGGACCCGGGAGCCACTGGGGTGCAGCCTCATCGCACCATGCCCCCCGAGGGCGGCTGTGTCCTCCAGGCTGAGAGCCAGGGCGGAGGTCAAAAAGGTGTCAATAGCTGCTGCAGATGCAGCATGACAGGTCCCGGGTCCCGCCCACCGCCCACCCCGTCCTTCAGGCCTCGTGGGCACCGCGCGCTAGGTGCCGCCACATCTTCCCGAGTCTCGGGTCTCCATGGGGAAACTGAGGCTGGGGGTTTGGCCTTCCACCCACAGGGTGTACTAGGGAGCTGGATGGGCACGGAAACGAATGGCCTGGTGTGGCCAGACGTCCCTTTCCCCCTCCCTGCAACTCCCAGGAGTCTCCCCTGCTTCCCGCGGGTACCAGGCTCGGCCCCCAGCCCAGGCAGCTGGTCCCAACAGGGCTCAAAGCAGGAGCAGGAGCTGGAGGGGGGTGAGGTGGAGGCAGACCCTGGACTTGGCTCTGTCCGTGCGGAGGCTGCTGCCCTCCAGCCAGGGCCGTGCTCTCTGGTTGGTTAAAGTGGCTCAGACGCAGCCAGGAGGCCAGGTTTCCTGGCTGGAGTCCTGCATGCCGCCGCAGCCAGGGAGAAGCTCTAGCGTCCACACTGTCTCTGTGCAGCGTCCTCCACGGGGCCCCAGCCTCCTGTGGCCTGCCCTGCCGCCCTTCACCGCTGCTGGCTGGTTCTCCGACGGAGCCCCCGGGAGCCCCCTCAGGTGACAGGGCAGGGCACCCGGAAGGCTCCATGCCCCCCAACCCCCCCCCCCCCCGCCATATGGTGAATCCCCGTGCTGCAGCCCACACAAACTCCCCCGCCCCCAAACCGGCTCTGCATTTGCTAATGTTTTGTGACATAAAGCCCTGAGATTAATTTTTTGCCTCTGTCTTAATTGAAGGAACCATTTAGTGCCGATTTAACTATTATTACCAAATCATCAGGATTGATGCAGTGCACACGCACGCGCGCCAATCGTGTTTGGAGGAGCTCAGAGGATTTATGCAAATGGGCCTGCCGGGAGAGGCAATTTGTAGCGGAGAAGGACAATTATACCCGGCCCGGGAGTGCGCCAACGACTGCACCGGGCGGGTAATGGATAATAACATCGTGCGCGCGGCAGCCGTGAGCAGCAGCGCGGCGTGACCGATGACTTTATACAGTGCAGATAAAGAGCCTTTTACACAACGCCGCTCCACACGCAAGGGGCCGGGGCCGGCCTGTGGGGCAGGGTGGGGGGAGGCCCCGGCCCTGGCCACAGCCGGTGGCTTCTGGGGCGGGTGAGGGGGACATGGGGGAGGGGAGGCATTTGCCCCAGATGTAGCTGTCTGCACCGACCCCCGCAGGGTTCTGTCCCCGGACACTTGTAAAGTTCCAGGAGAGAACGGCCTAGACCTTCAGTCAATGTATGCAGAGAACCAGCAGGCCAGGGCACCGGGGAACCAGAGGGAGCGGACCTGGGGCCCTCTGCCTGGGCCGCCCGCCCGCTCGCCCTGTGCCCGGTATCCAGGACTCACTTGGCTTTCTTGCCTTCGCTCCTGGCAAGCTGGCCGCCGGGGCGCAGGGTGGGCAGGGAGCTGGAGTGTTTGCGTTTCCTCGGCCGACCAGGCCCCCGTCGTGCGGGGCTCCGGGAACTCTCCTCTCTTCTGAGTGTCAAAGGAGGGCTTGTCAGAAATGTGTGCCCCCCCCCCCAACTTCCTCCCTCTGCCCTCTGGCCAAGGGTAATACCCTGAGGAAAGCTGCCAGGGGCAGGCTGAGGGCAGGGCCCAGCTCTGTCTGTCTGTCCCTCCCTGCACACACGGCCTCAGGGGCTTCGCCTCCTCTGGGTCTGCGACCATCACCTCTGTCCACCTGCTGGCCTCTGTGCCAGCACCCCAGCCAGGCACCCTGGGACACGGGTCCCGCTGTGGACAGGCTCATGCCACACGGCCTCTGCTGGCTGTCCTCGGCTTGGTTTCCTCTTAGGATGAAAGCCCTACCCCCAAGACCCTAGGGAACCCCCAGACCCCAGCTTCCCAGGCCCAGCACAGCCTACAAGGTGACAGACAGGCCTGGCTGGGCCCACACCCAGCCTAGGCCCCTCCCTGGAGGGCACCCCCCCCGCCCGTGGCGTGCCCGCCGGCGTACTCATGGTCATGTCGGCGCTGTAGGCGCGCCAGCTCCCGCTGCTTCTCCTTATAGCGCCGCTGGAGCTCTGCGAGCTGCATGCGGATCTCTACCTCCTGCGTGTCCAGCCGGTCGATGGCAGCCTTCAGCGGGCACACCTGTGCGGGGCGCAGGAGTCTGAGGGCCGGACGGGAGCCTCAGGCTGGGCGCAGGGACCGCCCCACCCTGCGGTGGCCCTGGGCCGGGAGACCACAGGACCCCCCCACTCACGGGCTTGCTTTTGGGGGTCCAGGTGTCCTTGCGCTGCTGGATCTGCATGCGTGGGGTGGGCCTGGGGCCGCTGCAGGAGTCGGCGGACTGAGGCCGGGCCGGGGTGACGGGGCCGCCCAGGCTGGCGGCCTCTACCAGGGACCAGGCAGTGGCAAGCGTGGCGAGGTGCTGCAGGTTGAAGGTCAGCACGTCCTCATCCCCTGCTGAGGGCAGGAAGGTCCGTGTGGGCCACAGCCGCGGGGGGGGGGGGGGGGGGCTCAGGGGAAGCGCCTCCGCATCACCCTGGTGTCACCCCGGCCCTGGGGCGTGAGGACCAGGGACAGGGTCGGGCACAGCGAGGGGGCGGCGGCCGCAGTGGGGGAGCAGCCACACGAGCTCCAAGACAGATGGGTGATGCAGGATTTGGGGGCACCACCAGAAAGCAGGGCCCAGGCCACTTCCGGCACCGTCTCCAGGACTCTAGGATCTGACCAGGAAGGAGGTCTGAAGGTCCCTGCGTCTAGAGCGGTGCAGGCAGCTACAGGCCACCGCCACAGTGACCTTGGTGGTCCCAGGAATGAGATGGATGAGCATGGCCAGGGGCCGCCCGGCCCAGGGCAGAACTCCAGCTGGCAGCACCCACGTAGGGGAGAGGCCTGGAGGTGGAGGACTGGGCACACAGGCTGACCCCAAGGCAGGATGGCCCATTTAGCCATAGCAGCCACAGTGCTCTGTCTAGTGGGGAAGAGGGGGAGGAGGGGCGGGTGTGGCAGGGTGGCTGGCTGGGACGGCAGGCTGGGCGTGGCAATGTGGGCAAAAAAGGCCCACACTGGCTTAGGCCACGTGGCTTTCACCCAGGACACGTGCACTACATATTTACCCAACGCACAGGCTCCAGTCCCGCCAGCATTCGCACGCTGCACAGACATGCAGATGCACATGTGCATGTACACACAGACACGCATGCAAATGCACATGTGCATGTACACAGACACGCACAGTGCCTGCATCCACTCCATGTGGCCAGGCGGCTCTCACACGGGGTCCCCAAAGCCGGCCCTGATGCTGGTACCCCCGCTGTGTTCTAACCCACGTAGCCAGGAGGTCCAAGCTGGCCTTCCCAGCATCTGGCTGGAGGCCCACACCAGGCAGGGCTGCTCTGCCCGGAGCAGGACCTCAGGGCAAGCTGTTTGGGGTGCCGCCCGCTGCCCAGGCCTGGCAGAGGAGGACCAGGGCCTTCAGGAAAAGGAGTGGCGCAAGGGCAAGGGTTTTATCTCCACGCAGCACAGAAGGTACGGAAGCTTTCGGCATCGGGGAAACAAGGCCCAGCCCCCGGACCTTGCTAGCTTCTGTCTGTAAATAGCCTGGACACAATGCCTGGATGGGGTGCTGCCCCCTGGGAGGGGCTTCCTCTGGGACCCCAAAGGAAGATGGTGGGCTGCTGACAGGAGGGATTTCTGGGGGAGGTGGGGAGCAGGAGGTGTGCACGGTTCGCTGCTGGGTGGAGGGCAGGTGAGGGGCAGGGCAGCCTGGTGGGGGAGGGACTGTTTCCTCACATGGGGACCCTGGTGGGGGGGCGGAGCCCAGGAGCTCCATGTCCCCCACAGGCTCACTGGGAGGAAGAAACTTTGCAGCCCTAGTCCCTGCCCCAGCTCCAGCGGCAACATGAAAGCCCCGTGGCCTGGGGCTCATCTATGCTGGCCAGGGTCACCTCCCTGGAGCTGACTGGTGAGACTAGAAGAGGCCGCAGTGTTTCCCGCTGAAGACTCTGCACAGCCTCCTGCCTGGTGTCTGCGCCTCCTGCAGAAGTGGAGACAGCCCAGCACGGGCCTCCAGGCTCCCTCTAAAGCCACCACAGAGGGGGCAGCTGGCCTGGGCCGGGCGCCTGCGCTGCCACATGGCCTCCGCTCCCACAGGTGCGGGTCTGTGGGGGAAGGGCTCCCCAGGGCTGCCTTGGCCCCAGAGACAAGTGAGTCAGGCCGCTGCCTGGCCAGCTGGCTGTGAGCCACCCCGATGGCCTGCCCGGCTCCGGGGGCCTGGGGGCCACGGCTTACCTTGCATGGTGCGCTCACTCCTCTGTCGCTGAACCTCCAGGTCAGCCAGCTCGCTGAGCAGGGCAATTCCGTGAATCCCTGAGCCGCAGGGCGGCGGGGCCGTGCCGGCATACCCCGAGGCTGCGGGGGGCTGAGGGTCTGGCGGGCCCAGGCTGGGCAGATCTCCAAGGCCCACAGTAGCGGCCACCAGGGCATCCAGCCCTGGCAGTGTCCTGGGTGGGTGGCTGCTGCCGGGAGCCCCCCAGTCCTCCTCCGAGTCTCCTACACTTTCCTCCTCCAGCCGGGCCTCCTCTTCCTGTGGCTTGGCCTTTTCTGGAGCTTGCTGTGTTTCTTCCTCTTCCTCGTCCAGGGTACCTGAGCTCCCAGCTTGCTGCTCCGGCGCCTGGAGGGAGGCCCCCAATGGGGCCCCCAGGGTCCCCTCCTCTCTGGTCCTCTCCTCTTGTGTCCCTCCCTGAGTAGAATTAGCCTGGCCAGTGGCCTCAGGGTCTCCTCCCTCCAGGAGGTCCCCAAATCTCAGTTCTCGGAGCCCTTCAAGAGGGCTGGGGTCCTCGGCCTTCCCCGGGGACCCCTGCGCTGCAGGGTGGGGTATGGCCGCGAGGTCCTGGCGGGGCTCCGTGAGCAGCTCGGCTCCCTCCAGGCTCCTGGGGCTGCGGGGGGCTGGGTCCCCGGGCGGCAGCAACATCCTCGTCCTTGGGGGCTCAGACTGGGCCCCTGGGGGGGCAGTTTGCATAGTTTCAGGGTCCGGGAGGTCTGAGGGGTGCGCGTCTGAGGGGAGGGGGAAGCCCACGCTGGCGGTGGGGCGCAGGAATCCTGGAGGCAGGTCTGTGGAAGAGGACCGGGGTCAGGAGGCTGGGGGCACACTGCGCGAGAGTGGCCACACCTGGGAGGGGCTGCGGGGCGGGGGGGGCTCACACTGGTGAGAGGGGGCTTTCCACGCCGACCCCAGAGCCTGGCCTCTCCTCGGGTCAAAACAGTGGGTGATTTTAAAACAGGATGCCTGAGCCGGGCTTTTCCCAGAACCAGACTGCGACGGCGGCAAGTCGGGAGCCTTATGCTCCATTAAAGACAATTCGTTGTTGTTTTAAAAAAGGAGAAAAAACCGAAAAGAAAAAACAAAAACCTCAAAACCAAACCAAACCAGAGCTCCATGTTGGCTCAGCCTCTCTTCCGGGGAACCGGGGAAGGTTATGTTGGCCATGTGGGTTTCCGAGTAAGCCCTTGTCTTGATTTGGAGAATCACACAGAGGGGGAGGGACCTCCAGTACCCCCCCTCCCCCCGGCAGTGATGTTTCTGCTTCCACAAGGCTGCAGGCATGCCCTCATGGCTCAGCTTTGCTGGAACCCAGCTGGTGGCCAGGGACAGGGCTGTCTGGTGCCCTTGTGGTCCTGCTGCTGTCACCGGCAGGCAGGGAGATTGCCACTCATAACCCCTGCACCCCCCACCCCCCGTGCGGGCCAGTGGAGCCCAGCTTTCATCTGCCCCCACCTGCTAAGGGGTGGGAGGCAGGGGGGGACACTCGGAGCTTCTCCATGGATTGGGAGAGGATGGAAGAGCAAGGAGAACGTGTCTTGGGTAGGAGAGGCCGGCCCCGGGTCTCGCTCTGCCCAGCTAGGAGCGGAGGCGCGGGGTGGGTGCCGGGCCAGGGGAGCCCCTCACCTGGTTCCAACGAAGTGAGGTCAGCTCCAGGCTGCCGGCCCTCACTCTTGTCCTCGGCACTGGGCACCTTGGAGCCGGGTGCGGGGCTGCCGTCGGGACAGGCGGATAAAGTGCAGAGGGCACCGGGACGGGGTGGCGGTGGGGTGGGGCAGCCGGCGGGGGCCTTCAGGGTGGGGGAGTGGCAGCAGGGGGAGAGCTTGACCGGGCCTGCGGCGGCAGCGGGCGAGGAAATGCCCTTGGCCATGGGGGTTAAGGCAACTGGCTTGTGGGTGGACTTCAGGCCCTTCTCCTGGGCAGCCTCCTCCATCTCCACGTGGTGATCCTCAGGCTTCCGCTGCTGGGTAGGGGGAGAGGCTCAGCCTGGGGCCGACCCTCCGCACCCAGGGACGGCTCACTGGCCGAGTGTGGGAGGCATGCGGGGAGCCACCCTGGGTCCCGGATGGGTGCAGCGGTGGGGATACCTGGAACTGGGCAGCCCGCTGCAGCTCCAGGGCCTGGGCAGCTCGGTGCTGCTGCTGCTGCTGCTGCTGTTGCTGCTGCTGCTGCTGTAGGGCGTAGAGCTCCTGCTGCCGCAGCAGCTGGGGCCGCGAGTACATGGGGAGCTGGCCTGGGTGCTGCATGTGCGAGGCTGGCCCTCGGCCCCCATACACGGGGGGCCACAGCGAGGCCTGGTCCATGACGTCAGCTGTGGGCAGGGCCGGAGGGCCGTCAGCCTCGGCCAAGGACGCGAGCCCACCCTGGGCTGCTGCCCCCGGCCAGCCACAGCCCCGTCCCCACAGGACCCGCATCCCTGTGCCGTCCCAGGGTGGGCTTGCCTTGCCTCGCCTCCTCCGGGGCCGCCACCCTCCCTGGACCTGCTGAGCACCCTGGTAGGGACCGTGAGGTGGGCAGCCCGTACCGAGTGTGTGCGGGGCCGTGTGGGGCGCGGGCTCCGAGGGCAGGATGACGAGCTGTGTGGGGGCGTCCTGGGACAGCGGGAACACTGAGGACATGGAGCCAGGCACGGAGGCTGGGAAGCCGGGCGGCAGGTTCTGGTGCAGGGCAGGGTGCCCTAGGCCTAGGGGACATGGGCACCGGGGTCAGGCCAGCGGAGCCCAGGCAGGAAGGACGGGGGCCAGCCCCGGCCCGCCCTCGGAGTACTGACCATAGGAATGGCCCCCCATCCAGAGTGAGGGGCTGTGAGTGCGGGGCAGCCAGGGAGGGTGGGCCGCGTGGGGGTGGGCGGCCGGGTCCCCCGCCAGCTGGCTGCCTTGCATCATGAGGTGGGGGGCTAGGTCTCCGGGACAGCTGCTTGAGGGGTGGATCCGGGCAAACTCAACCAGGTCTTTGTTGTCCCTGGAAGATCATCGTGGTGAGCTCGGCCCCATGCCACACCCTGCGCTCCCCCTTCTACTAACGAGGGAACATGGAGGATGGAGACCCCCCCAGAGACCCCAGGCTCCAGGCCTTGCGCCAGAGGACTCTGAGTGAGCTGAGCGCCGCCCCTCCAAAGGCTCCGGGGTGAGGGTACCACCCTGAGTCAGAACTTGGCGCCTGGGCCAACACCTCCCAACTTCCCACGGGAGCCAGAAGTGAGCAAGCCTGCTCTCCCCCCCACCCCCGCCCCGGGCTCACCGCAACCCCCCTCCCCCATCGCGACCAGCGCTCACTGCAGCAGCAGCTCCCGGCCGGCCAGCCCCAGACGCTCATCACACATCCTTGTCCGCTCCTCTTCACCTTCCAGGTCCAGGACGTGTGCGGCACGTGCTCCCCCGCCGGCTGCACGGGGGGCAAGACAGACGGAGGGTAGGTGAGGGGTGGCGGGCGGGAGGCCACCAGCCCAGGGGCGGGGTGAGGAGGTCGCCAGGCCAGCCCATCCCTGCCTGAGGACAGTGTACCTTTGAAGGTGGAGGTGCTCCTGCTCTGCCGCCCGTGGCTGGCGGCGTAGCCCGTGTCCGGCCTGCTCGCGGTGTCCTTCTGCCGGGACAAGGCCACGGCAATGCCCACGGGCGGCTGCCGCACCTCCCCGTCTCCGTGCGAGGTGTCGTGGTCCCGGCTGCGGGCACAGTCTGGCCTTTCCACCGGGCCTGGGCCCTTGGAGGCCTGGAACTTAGCCTCCTGCTGGACACAGCTGGTCTTGAGGCCGCCCAGGCCCACGAAGGGTGTCTTCTGGCCCACCACCAGGGCTTGGTTGCTGTACTTGAGCAGGTTCTTCATGGCTGAGACCTCGTCGGGCGGGGCCGGCAGCTCCTGGGACAGGAGGGCCGCCGGCTGCAGGCCGCTGCTGAAAGGGTCCAGGTAGGAGCTGCCCTTGCGCTCCTCGCTGAGGGCCATGGCGGCGCCTTGGCCGGTCTGCACGCTCCACGGGGGCAGGTGGGGCCCGCCATAGCCCAGAGACGCCAGCTCCAGGGACGGGCGCTTGGCCTCGGCCCCGCTGACCCCCGTCTCCAGCTCCGGGGCCACCACGTGCTGCTGGTGTCGGATGCGAGCCACCTTCTGGGCCCCGTGGGGGCCGGCGGGCGCCTCCTTGGCTGTCCCTCTATCTAAGGTGCAGCAGGCCTGCGGGGCCTTCCCGCCCAGCGGGTCCTGGTGGCTGGGCCGGGCGCAGTCCTGGGACGGGGCGGGCAGCTCGAAGTAGCCGCTTTTGTCCAGCCCGCCCTTGGGGAGCCTGGGGAAGGGGGCCTCAGGGCCCGCACTGAGGTACTCGAGGCCCTTCAGCCGGGGGTGGAGGGCCGCCTCGAAGCCCCCCGGCCGCCGCTCGCCCTTGCCCTCGGCCTTCAGGTGGGCGTAGGAGACCCCGTAAGGCGTGGCGGGGTCGGGGGCCCCGGCCCCGTCCAGGTGTCGGTCCTTGCCCTCGCCCACCACGGCACAGGCCTCCCTCGCCTGGAACGGGCGGCTCTTGTCGGCCAAGTGTCCCACAGAAGGCACAAAGGTGGGCCCACTGGCCTTTAGGTCCCGGGAGACTTTGTCCTGCAGCGGGCAGAGCCGCTCGGGGCCGGCGTGCAACTGCAGGCAGGGGAAGGAGCCCGCGGCCGTGCTGAGGGCCGGGGGCGGCCCGGCAGGCAGCCCGGACGGCACCGTGTAGGACACCGCGTGGTGCAGCATCTGCCGCCGCTCCAGGCACTCGCTGAAGGCCGGCTCCGTGGACACTGCCACCTCCTTGGCACAGCGTCCCGCCACCGCCGCCGCCGCCACCCCCCGCGCCCGGCCGGCCCAGTGTGCCCCCCGCGCAGCTGGCCAGCATGGCCTTGCCCACGTCCCCGTTGAGCACCTTGGTGTTGAGGAGACAGGAGGCGGGGTGCTTGGGGCGGCCCTCGCAGGAGCCCCTGGCCGGAGGGCCGCCCTCCTTGCAGGGCCCCTCGGGCGGCAGCGGGGGCACCAGCTTGTGCCGGTCCTTGCCGCCGTCCTCCTCTGCCCGCTCCCTGCCCTCCGCCCCCTTGCCGGCCTTCTCCTTGCCCAGCTCTTTGCCCGCGAGGAAGCGGTCGCATTCCCTGGAGCCCTTCTGCGGAGGGCCGGCCTCAGCCCGGTCCCGGCTGCAGGAGCCGATGGGGTGGGCGGGGGCGGCGCGGGCCACGCCGGGGAAGCTGTGGTTGGCGGGAAGGATGGCGGGCTGCGGGGGAAGGTTGCGCAGGTAGAAGTTATCTGTGAACCAAACAGCCGACATCAGCAGGAAGCCTGGGCCACCGGGGAGAGCTCCGGCCCCCAGACCTGCTCCTGGGTCCTGCCTAGGAATGCTTCTGCTTCCACTCTTCCTTCCTTCCTTCCTTTCTTTCTTTTGCCGGTTGTGGACCTGAACTCTGGGCCTGGGCGCTGTCCCTCAGCTCTTCAGCTCAAGGTGAGCGCTCTACCACTTGAGCCACAGCGCCACTTCTGGCTTTTTCTGTGTATGTGGTGCTCAGGAATCGAACCCAGGGCCTCGTGCATGTGAGGCAAGCACTCTACCACTGAGCCACCTTCCCAGCCCAGTATGCTATTTTTCTTTTTGATACTGAAATTTGAACTCAGGGCCTTGGCTTAGTGGTCGACCGTGTGTGGGCCATGCCTCTTTAGCTTTCACTGTTTTTCTAGGTAAGATGCTGTTTTTTGCCCTCTGCTGGCCATGGAGCACATTCTCCTAGTAGCTGGGAAGACAGGTGTGCACCTCTACACTAGCTTGTTTCTCTATTTTTTTTTTTTTTTTTTTTTTTTGCCAAGGCTAGCCTTTAATCACGATCCTCTTGATTCCTGACACCTGAGAAGCTGGATCACAGGTGTGAGCTATCATGCCCAGTTCTTCTTTTTTTTTTTTTTTTGGTCAGTTGTGGGGCCTGAACTCTGGGCCTGGGCACTGTCCCTGTGTTCTTCAGCTCAAGGTGAGTGCTCTACCACTTGAGCCACTGCGCCACTTCCAGTTTTCTAGAGGTTTATTGGAGATAAGTCTCAGAGACTTTGCTGCCCAGGCTGGCTTTGAACCGAGATCCTCAGATCTCAGCCTCCTGAGTAGCTAGGATGACAGGCCTGAGCCACCAACGCCTGGCTTGTTTTTGTTTTTAAATGTGCAAAAATAGACCCAAGACAAACTGCAGCATTTTAAGTCTATAATACCATGGCATTCAAGACACTGAATGTGGTTTGCTCATTGCTACACCATCAGCTGCCAGAACTTTCCATTTTCTCAAACTGTAACTTCCTCCAATTACACAGTACCCAGAGCTGCAAAAGCCTTGTCGGTCACTGTGACCCATGACCCCCGGCCCAGCTCGGTGACCCCAGTATAAGCACAGACCTGAGAACAATGCGGCCTGTGGCTCCTAACTGACTGGGACCCAGTGGGGGCTGGGCTGGATGTGGCAGGCCTAATCTGGGTCACACTGGGGGAGCTTGCATATCCACCCAAACCCCACCTCTAGCCAGGCTGGAGGTGCCGTCAGGGGCTCCCTCTGCTGGCCTTAGAACCGGCTGCCCGGCTGGGGCCGTGAGGGGCAAAGCCTCTCAGACAAGCAGGAGGCTGAAGCGAGGGCTGGGCTCCCGGGAAGTCCTGGGGGCGCCCTCCCCCTAGGTGGGTGGGCAGCAGGGTGAGGCCTAAAACTGAGCAACCGGAGCGGTGGGAGGTGGGGCAAAAAGAAACTTTTGGAACTTGTAAAACTGTCCTCAGTCATGTAAATTCCTTGTCAATTTCCTGCTAATTAGAAACAAGGGGGAAGGGGAGTGGGAAAGGGAGCCCAGGAGAAACCTAATTAGCTCAATTTCCAAAACCAAATAATGTTCTTGGATGAGGCTCTACCACAATATTGTGAAAATCGAGAGGCCTGGCCGGCAGGCTGCTGATACACTAGGCGCCCGCTGCCTGGAGGGAGTCCCTGGGCCCAGGTTTGGGGCTCAGGTTTCTGGGGCTGGGACCAGACACCTGCCTGCCTCTGACAGACGCTGTCAAAACAGCTGCAGGCTTTGGGTGTGTGGGCTTGGGGGACTCAGCCAGGCCCCAGGGCTGGGCTCCTGGGTGTCTGTCTGTCCAGGCTCCCAGCTGACACCCTGGGAGGGGAAGGGGGGCACTCTCCTGCCCAGCCTCGGTGGCAGCTGGCCCACCGGAGTGAGGCCGGGAACCTCAGCTGGCCCACCGGAGTGAGGCCGGGAACCTCCTGCCTGGGGCAGGACCAGCTCAAGAACCCACACAGATGGACACTGCCAGGTCCTCCGGCCTGCGGGGAGAAGGGGCTGAGGAGGCTCTCTGCTCTTCCGGCTGCCTCAACCTCCTCCCCGGGGAACCCCAGAACCGCTGTGACACAGTGTCTGTGCCTACCCACTGTCCACACTATGTGACACAGGCCCAGCCACCTGCCAGCTTCCCTGGGTCCGGGCGGACTCCATCCTCGGTGGCTCCTCCCCAGACAGCCCCTCCCACAGCTGGCGTGGGCCTGCTGGCATCTGGGTCCCCGTTCAGACCACACAGCTGGCCCTGGCCTGCCACGGATGGCGTCTGAAAAGCACTAACTCAACAACCCCCATCCCACCAGGGGTGGCCCCCTCCCCGCTCCCACAGGCTCCGGGGCCTGTGCTGTGCAGCCACCGCGGGGGCCTGTGCTCAGAGCCTCCTCCTGCGCCGTGAGGCCTGGGGTCTGGGCTTCGTGGGGCCCAGACGCCGCGGGCAGTGGGATCTCCCCGGTCCCCCTCCTCCTGAAGGCACCCCTCGGTGACCTCGGAGCTGGGGGGGTGCAGGGCAGGGCCAGGTCCTGAGTCTTTTCCCTGCTCTTGGGCTGAACGGGTTATCTCCTCTGGGAGCAGCCCCCGTGGGAGGGCTGCCCAAGCTGGCTGCCTTCACATGAGCTCAGAAGCTTCCTACAGCGCCCCCCCCAGGATGCACCCCATGCCCCCCCCCAAGCCCCACAGCACTTGCCTTTTTGGGTTCCATAGAAACGATGCTGCCCGTAGAGAACATTGCTGTTTCCATGGTGATCCAAGTGGCTCACGGGGAGGAAGGTGGATGCCAGACTCCCCGAAAATCTTGGGTATGCTGGAGCTACGGAAGTAAAAGGACTGGCTGTGGAGGTGGCTCCTGGCACCCCGGCCGGTACCACCCTGACCCCAGGAAGGTGAGCAGCCCGCGGGTGCCCAGGAGCAATGCCCTGAAGAGCCCAGCATGCAGCCTGCCTGTGGGAAATCAACCCATCAATACATCATATTAACTCTGACTAGACTAATGCCATCCCTCCGGTGCAGCACAAATTGAATTGCTGATGGGCTGGGAGAGGGGAGGCTGGAGGGGCTGCCTTTGATCCCCGCCCAGCAGCACTTGCTGGCCCCAGCTTCCAGGCCAGGAAACAAAAGGCCTCGCAGAAGCGTCTTGAGAGGAGGTGGGAAGTGGACAGACTCCCTGAGGAGCTCCTGGCCAAGGGAGGGCCGGGCCGGACTGGCCTCCCCCTGCAGGATCCCCAGGCCCCTGGGCAAGCCGAGCTCTGCCTCTGTATACCCAAGCTGGCCCCAGCTACTGCCTGGCGACTCGGAGTTGTGCGGGGCTGGCCTCTCTCAGACCCGAGGGTCCGCTGCCCCAGGCCAAGCCCTCCGATGGCCCTGGTTACCCCCCCGCCCCATCCCTGTGAGGTCCCCACCTGCGGGAGATGGCCTGGAAGGCCCCGAGCTGGCTGCTCAGAGCCACCACGAGTGTGGCTTCTCGGTCAGTCCTCTCCCACCTGACAGCATCACCGACCGAGTGCGGGCTCAGAGGTTACCTGGAGCATGTAAGCCCCGGGTCCCAGGACCAGCAGGCACAGGCGACAGCCCCGGGACCAGGAGCATAGTGAAGATTCATACGCCCTCCAGTCCTCAGTACCTAGCCTCTGCTCTCCAGCCCTGAGGGGTCTGAGGGGGGCCTTCAGTGTGTGGGGTGGGGTGTTCCTTTACCAAGCTGGCAGCAGCCCTCAGACTCTTATCAGCCTGGCCCTTACTCTCCCACTGGGCCATGGCCACTAGGCTGGGGGGTGGGGGGGTCTGGGTGTCCTCATCGCACGGGGCTGGGCTGAGGTCTGTCCCCCAGGTTGGACAGCCTGTCTTCAGCTTGGGCATGAGATGCTGGCCATGCTTAGCTTCTCCCGTGTGCAGGGAGGATGGGGGCGGCTGTGGACACGTGGAATGCGTGGCTGTCCGGCCCCTACCACGAGCACCCACGGCCCAACTGGCGCCCTCTAGGATGAGGCAGAGGAGAACCTGGGGCGGGGGTGGGGTGGGGGAGGGCGTCTTCCCTCCCCCCTCCCTCCAACAAACGGGAACCAAGGCAGCTGGGCTGGGGCAGAGTGGGATTCCACCTTGCTCCAAAATCACGCTGTGCAGTCTCTCACGTGCTCCAAGGTGGTCAAGCCCGGAGCACCTGCCTGCGGCCCAAGCACTTCCCCAAGGTTGACGGCGAGGGAGGTGCCTGCCCCGAGGAGCAGGGGGCGGGGGGGGGGGGGACGCGCACACCAGGCGGCCCCCCAGTGCCAGCGTGAGCAACAGCCGGCTGGGGACACACAAGGACAGGTCCCTGGCACGGCTTCGCTCCCTCAGAGCGGGACCACTCCCAGACCGGGCATGAGGGCATGGGAGGGCACGGGAGGGCTGGCCCCACGCCGCTCCTCTTGCGGGGAGCGGGCTAAGGCTAGAAGGCAGGGCGATGGCCCGGCTTGTGTGGGGGACACATCTGCAGCAGATGTTTACCAGATTAAGCCCAGCTTCTGGAAGGCCCTGGGACTTGACACAAGTTGGGAAGGGCGGGGGTGGGAGCGGGCGGGCAGGGCCTTGCGGGGAGGGGGGCGGTAGTTAAACCATGGCCGCTGTCCCCCTGTAATTGGCTGTTGTTAAATGTTTTACGGGCCTCGTTTTGGTAAACAGAAGTCTGTAAATTCCTCCTTCCCAGACGCCGTTTCCCGGCCGGACCCCCCTGTGCCCCTCGGGAGGTCTGGGCCTCTTGCCTGCTCTCCGAGGGGGCAGGCACTGAGCTGGCTGGGAGGCGCGCTGTGTCCCGCCTGGTGCCCTTTTGGGCGCCATGAAGGATGCAGGTGGCCCTCTGTGTCCCTCTTCCTCGGAGTCCAAGCTGGTCGCGGACTGGCTGAGGATGGGAGCGAAGCACGCAGGGCCCAGCCCAGAGGCCCTCAGAGGCCTACCCTCAGAGGCCCCCAGATGGGAACTGTGGCTGAGGAAGGGGTGTAGAGTCAGGAGACACGCAGGGTGGGGAGGGGTGGGAAACCCTGGGGGCAGAGGGAAGGAGGGGAGAAGGGGTCCTCCCACCCCAGGAACAGAAAGGCTCCTTTCTTTTCTCAACAAGACTATCGTCTCTGGACTATAGAAGAAAACATAAAATGATTTTTATGAATCAGAGCAGCTGCTCTGAGCCCAGAGGCCAGGATTCAGGCCTGGTGCGGCTTGTGGGGTAAGGTGGCACCCTGGAAGGCTGCAGCCACAGACACAGTGTGGGGGAGAGTTGTGGGGTAACACGGGACCACAGGACTGGGCACAGAGGATCCGAACCGCAGGCCAGACCTAAGGAAGCTCAGCCAGGGGGGCCAGGCCTGCGTGCTTCAGGCTGGAGCGCTCAAACCCAGGGCCAGGCTGCCCAGAGACATGTTTCTGCCTAAAGGCCGAGGCCCTGGGGCCCGGCTGAGGGTAGCCTGAAGGGTAGTCTGTGCGGCGATGGAAGGGTCCGGGAGGAATCCCTCTTCCCGCCCTGCCCACTGCCACAGCACCATCCCCAAGGAGGCTCTGGGAGCAGGGCTGCCGGAGGGGAGGAGCAGCGGTGGGGCAGAGCAGCAGGACAGCAGCCAGGGAGAGAGACGCAGGGTGGCGGCTGCCAGGCGGGGGCTCCTCTTGCCCACCCCGGGGGGCACACGTCCAGTCCTGGGCCGTGCTTTTCGCCATGTGTGACAGCCCTCCCCTGGACGCCGGCCTCTTCACTCAGGAAGGGGTCTGTGGCGGTTGTGGCCCGCGGGGTTCAGCAGGACTGGGCTGTGGTTGCGTCAACCCAGCGCACAGCAGTCTGCTGTGGGCACAGGCAGCACCTGTCAGCGGGCTGGCAGACACCCGCATCCCTGCTTTAGCGCCTGCAGGGCACTACCTTCCCCCCCCACGCTCTCCCCGAGCGGCTCCCTCCTCGGGTGCCTCCCTCCTCGGGTGCCTCACTAACCCCGGGGGGCGGCAGGCTGTGCTGGGAAGTGCAGCTCTGGGGGGACTGGGGTGCCCGCCGCTCTGCAGGCCTGGCCTGAAGGAAGCGCTCTGTGGGCGCGTAGGATGCGGCTCAAGTACCTGGGGCAGGTGCTCCGGCGGGGCAGGCTCCATCCGTCCTCAGGACGAGGGACCGCTCCTGCGGGGTGTGCCCAGACCCAGGCCCTCACCCCACAGTGAGGCTCCGCATGGGCCGGGTGGGTGGGGAGACGGGGCGCTTCCAGTGGACGTGACCCCAAAAACGTTCACGGGCTCTGCTTCCCATACCCCTTGCGGTCTTCCTAGCAGGACATAGTGCCAGGGCCTCCGCTCACAGTATGCAGCGGCCAGCCGTCCCCACTCTGGGCAGGTGTAGGGGGCATCAACCCAGGGAGATCCCCTCCTGGGGAACACGGCTGTTCCTCCCTCCCCCCATCAACAACAGCTCTACAACACTGGACCGCTACACCAGCTCCTGACAGCTGTGGGGGTCAGTATGGCCGGAGAAACAGGCTGGGTCTCACGGCTGGGCAAGCCGCCGACTTCCGGCTAACACAGCTCTGGGGCTGAGATAACCAAGGCCTTGTCTACCCCAGCCCGAGGCAGGGGTGAAGGGCAGAGGGCGGAGGGAAGAGGGTGGAGGGCGGAGGGCACGGGACTCGTGCAGCCTCGGGCTCCAGGACCACAAGGCGGGGGTGGGGGTCCCGAGAAGGGACAGGAGGACTGAACGCACACTGCCTCCGGAGGGGACCCCAGGCCTGACTGCTCTGGCTGGGGTGTCCTGGTCCTCGCTGCCTCTGGCTCCCCAAGGCAGGGTCTGGGAGCCCACTTGCTTCCTGCTGTCCCCTAGCTCGGCTTTTCCTAACCGTCCCAGCTGCTCCCTGGAGATGTGGGGTGGGGACACCCTGGAAAGTGTAGCGCCTGGGATGTGGGTGTGAACCCTGGAGAAGAGGCGGGGTTCCTGGGGGGCTGATCAAAGGAACACGTCCGCTGGGGTGCGGCTGAGGAGAGGGAGGGGGTCTCCAGGATCTGAGGAGGCGCAGCGGCCGGAGGGCAGTTCCGGAGGACAGTACCCCAGGGTCCCCAGAGCCACCGGCCCCCCGGGGTGGGTGGACACACGGAGAGACGTCTTAGGCCTGGCCTCTGCCTAGCTCCCGCAGCCCTCACCGGCGGCCGCAGCGTCTGCAACAGCTGGGCACACTTGGTGGCTCCCGTGTGCCGCTCCCGCGCCCACTGGGACCCGGCCAGGCCCCGGTGGAGAAGCGGCCACCCGGGAGGGCATGGCCCCGACAGGCCAGCGTGCCAGGGCTGGCACGCGTGCCTTCTGCTCCCCCTCCAGGTGGCACGAGCACCCGTGACTAGCCTGGCTGACCCTAGGGAGCAGCATCCCTTTCACGGCCCTGTGGGTGGTCTGGGTGGGTGGGTGGGCGCGGCTGGGGTAGGCGGGAGAGCGGGGCCAGGCCCACTGACAATAAGACCAGCTGTGCTATGCCCACATCCCCGCTCCGACCCACCCAGGACGGCCGGACAGCGCAGGGCCGCGCCTCTGCCCCCGGCTGACTCCGCCGCCCACCTCAGGCCCCAGCGGGTCCACTTCTGGCAGGACCCCTGGTCTTGGGTGAGCCCAGCGGCCAGGAGGCCCGGGGCGGAGACAACAGCCTGTCCCAGGCCAGATGTTCTGGGGCGTTCCTCTAACCGGGGTGCCTCCCTGGACCCCCAGCTGTTCCAGGGACACAGGAAGCCCAGGCCCCCGCTCCAGCAGCTGCCCTGCAGATGGGAGGTGAGGGGGGCTCTTCCGGCTGGCTGGGAGGCCTTGCCTGGAGTGGGGGACACCTGGGACCCCCCTCAACCCAACCTGGGCTGCCCCTTGTCAGATCCACCTGGGGGCCCCGTCCTGGACGCAGGGTGGGGGGGGGTGGGGAGAGGGTGAGGCTGGGTGCCCTCGTTCTGGCCATCTCGGGCCACGGAAGGAGCGGGCCAGAAGGAGGCTGCGGAACTGGCCGCCCAAGCAGCCCTCCGCGCCGGCAGCCCCCACTGCGGCCGTGTCGCATGCCCCCCGCCCGCCTGAACACACACAGCCAAGAGACAGGCCCCAGCACGTGGGAGCCAGCTGGCACCCCGTCAAACTAGCAGCCGGGCATGCTGCCAGGGCAGGCAGCCAGCCTGCCACTCGCTGCGGCCCCACCCGCGCCGGCCTGTGCCGCGCACACAGAGCGGCTCACAGCTGGCCGGGCCATGTGGCCCGCGGCGGGAGCGAGGCTGCTGCGGACCCTGGAGGGAGGGGATCCCGGGGCGGGGCGGGGGCTGGAGGGAGGGAAGGAGCGGACGGTGGGGAGGCAAACCGAGGCAGGGGCCGGGAATGTACAGATGGTCACACCGATAGACATGAACTGCTGACCCTTGAGGTGCCCGGGGAGGGTGGCCGGAGCACATCCTGTGCCCCTTAGACTGCACCTGCCATGCCCAACCTCCTGTGCCCAGCCTTGGGGGCACAAACAGAAGGGAACCACAACGTACGGCCGGCACAGAGGCTGCAGAGCAGTGGGCAGAGGGGTGGCCGCCGCCCTGGGGGCTGCCTTCTTGCGGCGGCCAGCCCTTCCTCCTCGGGCAGGATGTGGGAATGGGCAGGGGGAGACGGAATCCAGGTTCTGGGACGCACACTCCCCAGAACACCGCCTAGACACCGGCCGTCCAGCCGGATGGGAGCACGTGGGGCACGGGGCCCGCGAGGCCGGGCCCGTGCGGGGACTGGCATTGAGGCATGCCCAGGGTAGGCCAGCAGCCACTCTACCGAGGGGAAGCGAGAGTCTGGAAGTGGATGTGGGCTGTCTGCGTGCCACTGCCCACACACTGGTGTGGGAGCAGGCCCGGGGCAGGACAGCCCTCCCAGCTGGCAGGGTCCCCGAGGGTTGGGTGGACGAGGCTGGGAAAGGTGCCTGCAGTGTGGGGCCTGCACCCCCCTCCCACACATACCCTGGGTGCCGACGCTGCAGCTGGCTAGATGCTCAGCCGACACCGAGGCCTGGCCCGGGAGTCGGGGTGAGCGACCCACCGGGTCAGCCGGCCAGCCAAGTACCAGGGCCCGGCTCTGCCAGCCTGGTCTCCTCCCCGGAGTCTGCTAGGCTCCAATAGCAGCTGTGGCGGGCGGGCACAGGTAAGCCTCCTGTGCCCACTTGTCCTTGGGACCTGGCCGTCTCTCCTCCACCCGAGGACTCAGAACACCGTTCCTTATCGCTGGCCCAACCTGCGCGCCAGCACTGCCCAGAGCCCAGATCACTTCAACCGCTGTCCCTCACTCGTCACCTGTCCTGTTTGGAAAGCAGCCCCTTCTTCTTGCACAAAGAAGGGTTCTCCGGCTTCCAGCAGCGCTGGGCGCTAATCTCCCTGCCTGGAAAAGCGCGGGCGGGGCGTGCGCGGTGTGTGGGTCCGCTGCGCTCTGTAAACACGACGCCGGAGCGCCACCGTCATTGAGTTACGGCACTGCTGAGTGCCAGGAGCAAGAGCCCTGTGTGCCCACTGCCAACTGCAATTACCTCCAACTGTGTTGCCAGACGGGGGGAGGGGGAGGAGTTAACCCTTCTCCCGCCACGGGGAGAGCTCACAGCCCAGGGAGCACCAGCGGTCGCTGGAGTCCGAGATGCTGAGCTCATCACAGCGCTAAGCAAACCCCAGGGAGGTGGGCAGGGCATCTCCTGTCTGTGGAAGCCCCTCCCGCCCCCACCCCCGCCCCGCGGAGCCCTGAAGTCCTAGCCTGACAGCAACAGGTATTCTGAGACGCTGGCTGTGTGCTCGCTGGTGGCGGGAGGGGCTCTTTGGTGGGACAGCCTGGCTGCTGGCAGCTCTCCCCTCTCCCCTCTCTGACCCAGCTGCTGCGGCTGGAGCCCACGTCTCCTCAAGGCTGAGTCTAGGGAGGTGGGGTGCAGCCCCCGGCAGAGGGCACAGCCCAGTCCGCCGGCCCAGCTGTGTTCCACATTTCCTCAGCTCCCCTAACCCTCTCTCCCCGGCCCCCCCTTCCTCCATCTCTGCCCATCTGGAGCACACATCTGGCCAGAACCAGTGCCGGGTGTGTGTGCGGGGGAGTCCCATTTCCAACCAATTACCACCTATCCTGGAGGCTCCCTGGCATGGAGGTCGACCCCACCAGAACTGGCGTGGCTGGGCAGCCGGGGCTCCCAGTGGTCGGTCGGTGGCTGCTGGCTGCCTTGGGGGCCGGGCTGGGACTCACCTTCGTGGGAGTGGGAGAACCAGATCTGTGGCGTGGCAGGGTGGGAGCCGCGGTAGGCCTGCTCAGAGGGGGAGGAGGCGGGGCCGCCGGCGTGCGCCGAAGCCGCTGAGCCCAAGCTGCTGGTGAGGAAGCTGCCCATGAAAGACGAGGCTGGAGAGTTTCCCATCAAGCGGCTGCTGGCTGTGGACACAGGGGCGAGAGTGAGTCCGCCGCGGTGCGCTGAGCACCTCGCAAAGCACCGCACAGAGCACCACGCAGAGGCCCAGCTCCCCGGGGCCCTTGTCTTCAAATACGTAAGGCAGAGGTAGGAAAAGCTGCCCCTGTGGGAGACGGTAATCACACCCGGGGTCCAAAGCCTCCTTGTGCCTTAGGTGTCCTGAACCAACCTCCTCTGTTACTGCAAGACCAAGAATGATACCCTTGCTAGCTTACCAGAACCACCAACCACATCACCACCACCACCACCACCTCCACCATCCATGGTACTGCCACCCCCGACACCACCACCAACCCCAACAACCATCACATCCTCCACCAGCACAACCACATTACCACCACCACCTCTACCTTCCATGGTACTGCCACCCTTGACACCACCACCAATCCCAACAACCATCAGCAGCAACAACAACCACAGCATCAGTACCACCACTAACCAGGGGCTGAGTATATACCATGTACACATTCTGGACCCATGGTAGACAAGCTGCCCGTGGCCTTCTCTGAGACACAGCACTGTGATGCTCCCAGGCCTCGGCCGTTAGCCTAACCCAGGCTTCTCAGATGCTGGTGGACTTTGGACAAATGCTTTGCCCATGGCTCCCTGAGGACCAAGGCCAGGGCTGTGGACCCAAGCAAGGTGTGGGTCTCTCTCCAAAGCAGAGTCTTTGTCCATCTGTTCAAGTCTACTAACTGGCCATAGTGAGACTGTGGTGCAACATCCCAGGTGAGGGAGGGGGGAAACTGAGTCAGGGGAAGAGGGGAAAAGGGAGGGCAGGGCAGGATGGAACAGTACTGACCAACTTGTAGACACCCCCCCCTCCATGGTCAGACTCGCACTGAGCCGCTCACAGCCATTCATCTGAGGCTCAGGAGGCAGTGGCCAAAAGCTCCTGGGGCTCAGCCATCCTATTTTGCACCCCTGGTTCAAGAACAGGAGAGCGAGCTGCCGGGAGCCCGCCAGGCTGGCCTCCACACCCTGCCCACCCAGCCAGCTACACCCTTCACCCAGCCATCATCAGCCAGGGCCCATGTTCCCTGAGTCCAGCAACCAAGGCCAAGGCCAGTGTGCTGCCCTGGTTGCCACGGCTACCAGTTCTTGCATGCATGCATGAGAGAGCTCTGTGCATAGGGCCAGGCCGTGGGCGGTCTGAGCTACACTGTCCCCACACCTTGCTTGGGTCCACAGCCCTGTCCCCACCCTGGCAGGGCCCTGGGACACTTTGCCACCTCTGTCCTGAGCACGGAGCCTGGCTTCAGGGGCCCTGGACCCCAGAGATGCAGGCCGGCCCACGGTGAGTCAGGATCACCGATCCCCACCCGGGGGGCAGGGGCATTGGTGTATTTGTGATGCCTCATTCCGGCTGGCGTGGTCCTGGGAGCTTCCCAGACTTGGGGTGACTCAGCAGAGCGGCAGCCAGGCGGGGGGGGGGCTGCCCCAGGAGACCCTGGCAGCCATACTGGGCCCCAGCGCCAGCTCCCAGCACGGGCTCGTGTGGAGTGGCTCCCTGACCCCCGCTGAGGCGGTGGGCACCGCTTGACAAGGGCCTCTCCCAGACACGCCGGGGAAGGGTCTGGAAGGGGCGGGGCCCGGTGAGGACAGTGGAAGGTGCCAGAAGCCAGGGACTTCCCGCCCAGACCACAGGCCTGTCCCGCCCGGAGAGGGGATTCCAGGCTGGGAGGGGAAGTGCCGGCTCCAGCCGCACTCCAGAGACCCTGGGGTGGAGGTGAAGGGCCTGCCTGTGGGGTGAGCACGGCAGGCGGCCTTCCCACCCCCCCAGCCCCCCCCTCTGCTCCCTCCCAGGGAATCCCGCCCACCCTTTCCTCCCCAGAGGGCGGGAAGCAATCCAGCCCAAAAGCTAGGTCTGGAGAAAACGTTACTCCATGATCTGGGCCTGGGAACCCCATACCTTGGGCTCTCTCACAGCACAGCAGGCAGGGGGAGGGGGTGGGAAGGATGATCCAGAGCTAAACATGGCCCCCCAGTGGGCAGGGAAACTGAGGCAGAATGACAGCTCCCCCCAGCAGGGTTTCCTTGCCCTGGGGTACAGGAGGAAATCTCACTGGTCAAACACCCATAGCCCTCCAAGAGCTCCCCGCGGAGAGGCAGGCGGGTGGGCCGAGCAGGCCACTGCACCTCCACCCTCTTGGGTCTTGGGTCTTAGAGGGAAGCTTGCCAATGTCCAGCTCCAGTGCTACCCCAAAAGGGGGTCCCTTGGGCGGGAACCCCTCAGGGACCAGCTGTACTTCCTATTCTGACTGGAGACCCCAGCTCGGCCTCCAGACGGGCGTGTCTCTGGACTTGCTGGGGGCCCCTCGGAGGAATTCCTTTACAGCTGCTTCAGCTGCTTTTCCAGAGCCTGCTAAGAGGGGACCCTGCTGGCGTCTGGAAGATGAGGGAGAGGCCGGGCCAGGGCTGCAGCCCCTCCCCCCCGGGCCAGGGCAGCCCTCCCCCGCCTGTGCCACCTCTGCCTATACCACAGCATGTTCAAGTGCCGGCACACCAGAGATGACCCGGGAGTTGCCAGCGACCACAGGACACTGATGGCGGCCAGGAGGACTCCGGGCCCCTCTAGCACCACAGGGGACCCCACGGGACACCGTGAGAGCTCTCGCACCTCTCTGAGGAAACGGAGCCCAATCGTCGCCCCGTGGCCAAGAGGCCAGCTGCTCAGGACGGCCCGGGAGGGCACAGGCCGCGATGGAGCTGAGCTCTACAGCCCTGACCCAGGAGTGGGCCCTGCGGCCCTGAGCCTGCCTGGCAGAAACCGAGGCTCCCATGGGCCCTGCCAGATGGGCATTCTCGGGTGGGTGGCATCCCCTGTTGCTTCTGAGACCCTCCCTAGCCAGCCCGGCTCTGTGAGCACTTGGGAAGACCCAGGGTGGAGTATCCGTGCTTATTGTCACCTCTGTCGCTGAGGGCTTGGACAATGGCGCTATGCCCAGCCGGCAGAGCCCACGGGCAGACATGGCTGCTGCTTCCCTGCCCCCACCTGCCAGCCAGTAGCCAACTCCAGACAGAGCTGAAGCGGTGGTTGCCTGGGAGCCCCGTGTGGCCTGGGCCTCTGCCAGGCCAGAGCCGGGGGCCAAGCCCAGCCTCAATTGGGCTGAAAGTGTCTTCCTCTTGGCAAACTTCTGGCCTACTGAGGGCTGCAGTCACCAGCCCACGAGGGGTCAGTGGGGAGCCCTGTGCCCTAGAGAGGCCCAGAAGGACTGGCCCGAGCCCCCCGGAAGAACTTCTCAGAGCCCCGTCCAGACAGGCACCATCATCTGACCCTACTACACTGGCACCTCTGTACCAAGGACCTTATAAACCCAAACAACTCAGTGCCACCAGGCTCCTAATGGGGGAACTGGGCGTGGTAGACTGAATCATCCGCCCCGGACCCTAGCGCCAGGCCGCCTGGGCCTGGTCACGAGAAGGCCGCCCTCCTCTCCCAGTGCGCATGCCCAAGGCTGCCCAGTCCCCGGGAACATGCCTCCCTCTGGGTCTCTACGCCACAGAGGTACAGCACACCGAGGGGCATCCCCGGAAAGGGCTCAGAGAGCTGAGGCGTGGAGGGCCCTCCCCACCGCCCGCTCCCTCTCCCCACCGCCCGCTCCCTCTCCCCACCGCACCCACATCAGCTCCCACTGCCTCTTCTGCAGCTCCAGACAGGACAGGCTTTGGTCCCAGCTCCAGGGCCACCTGAGCTCTGCCCAGGACACTATGGAGGCCTGGCCTGGCCATCGGGCTGGCTGAGAAAACCCCTCTGGAAGGCAGTATGCCAGGAGGCGCTGCGGACACGCCGTTACTGTGCCTCTGGGAAGCTGGTCTGTCTGTCCGCGTGCCACACGGTGGCACACCTCCACAGAGACTCCGGGCCACCCCCACACCCCCGGCCAGAGATGGGGGGGCAGGGAGGACAGACAGCAGAGCGAGTGGCCTGCCTTGGGGCCTCCTTCGAGCCTGCACACCCTACCCTGTCCAGATTCTCGGGGACGGGTGCAGTGGGGCCTGCTCAGGAAGAACAGGCCCATTCCACCTGGCACAGGACCCGTAGTGATGTGGGGGCTGGGGTCCCCACCCCTGATGACCATTCTGCCTGACCGCTGAGCCCCTCCCAGAGCCCTGTGGGGGAAGGGCCTGGCCCACAGGGGCCAGCTCCCCTGGGGCCTCAGTGGCCCTACGTGGGCAGGCAAGGCTGGAGGCCAGCTGCCTGTTGTGGCCACGTCTGTGGCCACGGTGGTGCACGGAGCTCTGGCAGGAGAGGGGGGATGGGGTGCACTGGTGCAGGTGTGAACAGTCCTGCAGCTCCCGAGCACCGCCTCCCAAAGGGCTGACTGACCGCCCAAGGCCTCTGCCAAGAGTGCCCTCAGGACAGGGCACGCCAGGGGCCGGGCCTGGGCGACCGGGCGGCACAGTGCCCACCTGGCCATGCCCACCCAGAGCTGCAACAGAGCCGAGCCAGTTTCGCGGGAGCAGCGCTGCAGAGAACAGGCATTTGTTTTGCGTTAAGTGAACACTGAGCGCGTCCTCCTTTTCTGGAAACTGTGAAATGGGTTGTTAAAAAAAAAAAAAGCTCCCTGAAATGGTGGCGGCTCCCAAGAAGCAAGTCCCTTCCCAGGCTTCCGGAAGCCCAGCTGACGGGCTCTGGCACCGGTGCCTTGGGCTCTGGGCCTGGCTGCTGCGCCCGCTGCCTGCGCCAGCCCCCCCCCCCCCCCGGCCCCCCGGCCCTCGCTGGGCTCCCGCTCCCCTCAGAGCCTCCGGCTTTCTCTGCCGAGCTCTGCAAAGGCCACCCAGGAGCTGGGGATGCCTGGACCTAGCCTCTGGTTTCCCCACGGGACTGGGGAGCCCCTGAGTGGGGTGTGGGGCGGCGCCAGGGCACAATGCCCCCTCCACAGAGTTGAGTGCTGGGGGTGCAGAGAATAGATACTTGCAGCCCCACCCCGCATTCCTCTCATTCCAGGAAGTGAGGCTTCCTAAGGATACAGAATCCTGGGAGGATGGAGGGGCTGCCTGGGAGGGGAGGGGCCGGGTCCTCTGGGAGGAGGGGAGGGGTCAAGTCCTAGGGGAGGGGCTGCTCAGAGACCTCTGACCCCCAGGAAACCGGGACCAGTGGCCTCACCACATGCTGCTCTGTGTGCTCTGTGTGCACAGAACGCAGCCCAGTGTGTGCTGGGATCAGGCAGAAGCCCGAGCCCCCGGGCCGCACCAGGAGGGAGGCTGCAGCTGGCCAGGACTGCGCGGGCCTCTAAGCGTGAGCACACCTGGACACACGTGTGTGTGCTACAAGAGTGCAGCCATCTGGGTGGACACGCGTGTGTGTGGCCTTAGCAACCTCAGTTCTCAGGCCCAAAAGGCAGGCCTCGGCCAGCATGCTCCCTGACCTGGCCTGCTCACCTCCGCCATTCAGG